TTGTTTTTTGTTTTGTTACCATTGTTACTGTGCTAATAAATTAGTGCTTTAAAATATTTGACTATCTTTGACAATATTTGACTGGTGAATTGACCAACTATTTTTGGACCAGTCAAATGTCCAAACTTAGACACAACTTTATCTATGAATGATGCAGTTCCCATCCCTTGAGACATTTAAAATTAGACTTGTCTAGGCAATAGGAATTGCACAGAACAAGCTTACATTGGCAGAAGTATCTTAAATTGGTCTTTTCCATCACAGTGATCTGATTCTGTGGCCTACCTAGCATAAAATTTGCTATCCTTTTAGGAGTGTTTGTTTCAGAGCTATGAATGCTGCAGTGATTGAGAACAAATGGTTGCTGAATGTATCCTTTCTAAATCACACCAATTAAATTATTTCATGTATTAAAAGAAAATTTCTTAAGATGGGCTTGTGTTGCAAGTAGTGATTACTAATGTTTTCCAGCTTTTAAACTATTCTTCTAACTTTTTTCTTAGCTGTACGAAGTCTACAAATGTTTTGTTTTTATTTCTCCTGCTTTTCTAGCAATTCACGAGAATCTTTGGGCTCTAAAATTATCACTTAAATGGCTCCCTGTTTTTGGCTTTTTGCATTCTCCTCCAATTGAAGTGATCTTCTGACTTGAGCAAGTCATTCCACCCCTATGTGCCACCATTTCCCTATCAGTAAAATGGGGACAATGTTACCTTTTTTTGTGCTTTGAGATTTAGAGATGAAAAGTGCTGCATGAGAACTAGTTTGTGGTATTTTTTAATTGAGTTTTTTCTTCTTGATTAGTGATCCTTGTCTCCACTTGGATATTAAAGCATAGCTGTCTTGTGAAACAAAAGCAGACTAAAGACTTTTCAATTTCTGCAACTACAATCCTTCTGTATCACTATTCTAGAGGTGGGTAGCAAGAAACTCACCAGCAATGGGGTCAGATGTTTCTAAACTTTGATAAAACCCTCCCTATAACAAACCTCGATTAATAGATTTAAGGCCAGAAAGGACCATTATGATAATCTAGACAGACCTCTTATCTAACAGGCCCAAATAATTTCACCCTGCGTGAAGCCCATAATCTTAAACTTGTATCTTGTTGAAATCTTCTTGTAGCTTAGCACTAAGGATGTTCAAGCCTGCTCACTATGGTTTTTGGAAGGGAAACCTCCAAGGAAAAACATGGATGTTTCCCTCTGAGACATAGGCTACCTAAAAAAACTTTGCTGGCAAGCAACTTACTTGATGATACCGGGGAAGAAAGGTAGAAATAATTTACATAAGGAATTTTTTTTACAAATTGGAAATTTAAGTATTCTTGAATTTTGAAATTTCATTTTATGCACAGAATTTTGGTTTCACAGAGCTGAAGTGCTTTAGCTTTGAGGGACTCTAAATTATCTTAAAGCTTGAAAAGAATGTCCATAAGCTAAAACAGATGATAAACCACCATATGTCCTTAAAGCAGCTTAAACTCTTAAGTTACTGAAGCTCTCCACACACCTCTCCAGTAGCACGGAAACCCCCTAGATAGCCTCATCCTCCTGAACCCCAGGCCAACGGCCTGCCTCTCTGGGGAGGATGAAGAGGAGCTAGCTGTGCTGCTGCTTCTCTAGTTGAGGGAATGGACAGGAGATATACTGGCTTCCCAGCAGTCTGGAGAGCCACAAAAACCGCTCCTGAAGCAGGCACATCTTAGAGATAAAAAATACTTGAAAACTATTAAAATGCTTATAAGTGGCAATAAAATCTGTTATCTCTATATCCTTATACTGGAAAGCATATATAAGCTTGTAATCCTTTTCTACAACATCTAGCATCTTAAAATAAATAACTCAAAAAACCTAACTTATATTCACCTAAAGTGCTGCTGTGTTTCTGCAAAGTGGCTACCTAAAAATGGCAGCTTCTTACTCGACACATCTGCTCTGTGGTTTCAGAGTCAGACTTCCTGACTCTAGTGCCAAAATAAGCTTTTACCACTTTACTGCTTTGGCACAGCTTAGGCAGCAGAATGATGAGACAAAGCTGGGTTCTAATACAAATAAACAATAATGATGGTCTTCCTAGTGAATGACTGACTTAGTTCCAGCTAAAGTTCTAGTCAGTTGTACCTGAACCAGATTCTTCTTCTAGCATATGCGCAACATGCCTCAAGTGGCATGTGTCTAGGTTTCATCACCGAATTGGTCCACTGGTTGGATCATTAGCTTCCCCGGCCCGGGCACTGACTGGGAGTGCGATGTGAACGCTGATCCATGCCCCTCTGAAACAGGTTGAGGGCACGGGGGAAGTACGCAAGTCTTCACTAAAGGCATTATTTGGCCAGCAGAAACTTTATTACCAGTGATGCTGTGTAAGAAAGGAAAGAACCCAGCTTGACTTTCAGAGCCCGGGTTGATTTCTGTAGTGAAGTTTGGAAGAAGGATCTTGTAAATTGAGCATGCATGATGTGGGAGTCACTGGATTGCAGTAAACATGGAGCCCTACCTTGCCATTTTCATAATCTGCTTTCAGCATAGTACTTTAAGTATTCATGCTTATTAACTTGCTTTTTAAAGATAATAGCTTTCTGATTAAGGAACACAAAACAAAGAGAAGGGGTTGGGGGGGAACCTTTTGACCGAAAAGGTATTGTTTGCCAAGAATGAGGCTCTTTGATTAGTTATCCCTTTGCAGTCCCTGTCTACTTCGTCATCAGCTTTGTTCCAGATATGATCCCACCCAGCTAACCTATCCCTTTCCTACAGTAATGCTCTTCCGCTTTCCCAAGTGTCCCACTGACAGTGCCTTCCAGAATCTCCAGAGATTTTAACAGAGTTGTTTTGTATGGGGTCTGCATTTTACTGTGGTATAGATGTGATTTTTTTTTTTTTTCCCAAGTAACTTTAATTTTAAAAAATGCATTTGGTTTGTTAAGATTTATTTCCCTCATTTGAAATCCATGCTATATGGCTTTATTTAGATGATTTTGGACCACATCTTATAAAATACAGATGCTTTGCAGACCTAGTTAAGATCTTGAAATCTTGGAATTGTGGGAACATGTCAAATTCTGCAGTGTTGAAAAGGCAAAGGAATGAACATGATTTAAAAAAAAAAAAAAAAAAACTTCTAGAACAGGGGTAGGCAACCTATGGCACGCGTGCCGAAGGCGGCACACAAGCTGATTTTCAGTGGCACTCACACTGCCTGGGTCCTGGCCAACGGTCTGGGGGGGCTCTGCATTTTAATTTAATTTTTAAATGAAGCTCCTTAAACATTTAAAAAACCTTATTTACTTTACATACAACAGTAGATTAGTTATATATTCTACGAGACCTTCTAAAAATGTTAAAATGTATGACTGGCACACAAAACCTTAAATTAGAGTGAATAAATGAAGACTCGGCACACCACTTCTGAAAGGTTGCGACCCCTGTTCTAGATCATATTAAATATTGGAGGAAGGGGTGTGTATAACCCTGTCGCCTAAAAATGTGGACTAAGCTAGTAGTTACTACTTTGATACATCTGGTTTTTGTTGTTGTTGTTGTTGTTGTTTTTTTTAACACCCTCCCCCCAACTTTTCCAAGAATCTTCTTATTTTGTAATCTAGCCTTAACTAGATTTTCAGAGATTATATCTAGAGGGAACCCTAGCTTGCTTTATGTATGTGATCGGTCCTTTTGAATGATAAACTTTTTCCTGGGGACAGAAATGACTGTTGCATTGTTAGTTACTGATGCATGTGGTCATAAAACTATTACCTTGTGAGAATGGTGGAATTGTATTGTGCTAATAAGATAAGTGTCCAAGTGTAGCGTTTACCTTTGAAAAGATCAGTTAAGATGGCTTTTTTTGCACTTTTAATACATTGCCTAAATAAACCCTAAGTCTCTTGCTTGTGTGTGTGTGTGTGTGTTTGTTTGTTTGTTTAGTGCTAGGTTTAAGAATGTGTAGAGTGATGTAATTTATGTGAAGTGTTATGTATATTAAAAAATCACTTCATATTTTATATTGAGCCCAGGACTTTTTTATGTAACATGTAGATACCTTTATTATTATTGGAGGATTTTGTTTTCTCCAAGCACAGAATATAATTGATGTTTACTAACCTTATTTGTCTGAAACAAAGGGATGAGGTTTATATAACTTTACCTGTATTTTACATTTGGTCTACATTAACTATGCATAATACCTGTGCTACTTCACAAGATACAGGCAGTGGAAAAGCTCTCTAGGACAGGAGGCCTATATTATCCTTGTTTAGCAGCTAAAGCAATGGGACTTTGATCCCAACTTCTTAATGCTTTTGCAATAGCTATTGTAATTTTAAAATATTAATAACATAACAGAAATTATCTTAAAGTATTGATGTTGTTTCATTTTTAATTTCCCTCCCTCATTCATATTTCCACTACTCTGTTGATTCATCTATCTTTACCTGAGATACCAAGTTTTCTGGACTATTTTAAGTATGTTATCCATATATTGCAAAAGCTGTGGTTGGCTATAAATAGCTGACAGCTATTATTTTATAAGACAGAGGGTGGGGAAGTTTGACTTGTAGGGTGACAGTGCAGCATAATTATGCTGGGTCAAAATAGTCAATCATTCTGAAACAATGTTTCCCTGTCAAAACGCCTTATAATGATCTTTAATTCCAAAAATAGATCTGACTTTGAATTTTTGCATTCACAAATTATCTAAAATCAATTCAGATTATTTTTCTAATCCATTCCTATCTCCTATGTAGGTTTGTGACTATTGAGTGCTGATACAGAAAGGTTCTGAGCAGTGAGGAGTTAGGTGGCTTTAAAAAAACTCAAACTCAGTGATGACTTCAGAAAGAAGTCAGGAAACTTCTTATACAATATCTGCACCAATTCAAGATCTAGGTGGTCATTTATTGAAAGCCAAAACACTTGGCTTCAATTTTGTTATTGAAAATAGACCAGTTAAAATTTATTTTTAATAGCTTCTGATTTATTCTGTCTTGCTGTTTTTAGAGAGAGTTCTGGAAAGGCCACACAAATGGAGGACTCCAGGGAGAAAGTAACACAGGACATCATTGGTATACATTTTACCTCGCATTTCCATTAATCATTGGCCTTTTTGTTATCCTCCTTATCATATTTCTCACATGGAGATGCCTGTTTAAAAAGAAAATCCGTAGACAGTCTGTATACATGCATAGGGGAGCCCGCGAAGCCATTGGTGATAGTGCTGTGGCTGATGGTAGAAGTCCTCTTCCCCCGCCACTCAGCATTGTTCATTCCCCACAGGAAGAAATGTATGAAGGCAGTGGGCTGTCTCCAGGATATTTGGGCTCTCCAGATGGACGTTCAGACTCAATATCAACAAGGCTGTCAAATGGTGACCCTCCTCCTTCATACGAGGAAGCCACTGCCGAAACCAGCATAAGAAATGAAATGGAGCATCACTTAGATCCACCCCCACAGTATGAAGACATTGTAAACTCCAGCTCAGCTAGTGCCATTGCAATACCTCCTGTTGTCACCAGTATTAAGTAAAGCAGGAAGAATAGTAGCAACTTTTTTAAAAATTACTAAGAGAATTTTGTGGCACTTTAATGCAGCTTACTACTGTTTATATAATTTAATGGACTCCTACTGTGTACCTCTTCCCTGTTTTGTTCCATCTGCATGTGTTCCCATGCCAGTTTTAAAGATGGGGGAATCCATACTGAGAATATGAAGCAGGTACAAATGTGGTCTTCTGTGCATACCTCTCAAATGTCCCTCTGAGGGTTGTCATTTATTTTAGTCTAAATGTTGCCTACGTTCCACACAAATTTGATGTCCCCTCCCTTTTAGTGTTGAAAATTATTTACATCAGAATCAAACACTGGTAACAGCAAGTTATTTAAACCAAAGGACCATGTCCTACAACATTTTAAGTTTCTTGCATGAATATTTTGTCTTTCATTTTGGGTCTTTGTCACATAGTGTATCCTACACTTGGGCCTTGGAAGGCTGAGAAAAGTATTTGTGTGTGAACAAACATCAACATAGCATATTCACCCAGCTTAAATATGATACTTCAGGGATTGCAGTAAGTGAGACTAAGAAATTTTGGAACACATCAGCTGTACTTGTACAGAGGGCAGTAATTAAGTGAATTTTGCAATTGGAAAAAACGATAGCCTAATGTTCTTATCCCCTCTGTTCTCCATCCTTCCCTCCAGTTAGTCCTGTTTATGATGATGTCTTGTTTCCGGAATGTCTGATTATTTTTTTTTTTATTTTTTATTTTAAGTGAATTTAGTTCTTGTGAAAGGTACTAGATTGACAGCTCTAGAAATTAAAGTTCCAGCTGCACTGCAGACCAGTTAATGCACTGCCTCTGGGCACACAGTAACAAACCAATGTGCCTCATCACTGACATGCCGAAACCGCCTAGAAGGGGATGATCATAGTTTACTCTTCATGCCAACACAAATAGTGGTCTCTTCTGAGTCTGCCAACAGGCTGCCAGTTGCAATGGTCTTTTATTTATGTGGATTTCTTTCCCTACGAAATGCATGGTGATCACTCATTTCACATAGGCCATTAAGCAGTTGTCAGATAACCTCTGGTCATTTCCAGTCTGCTCTGGATTTATGCCAATGACTGAAAGTTGTAATGCTCAGTATTCCACTACCAGTCTCTTGAACCAACCAAACCCCTGTTTTAACTGGCTAATGTTCCTGAACTACAGTGTGTTGCAACATTGTGCAGATATTTATTTGCAATAAAGAAATAATGCTGGTCCTTTGAAATAAAGAGATCAAATGTTCAGTGATCCATGATGACCACTTTCAGAACTATGCTGTTGATCGAAGACTCCACACAAGCACAATTTTAAATTCACTGGCCAAAAGTCTCAGTGAATGCAATTTACACGGCTAAACAAAAAACTGCATAAAGCAGTCATTTAAAATGTTTTTTCCTCTATTAAGACCATAAGTGCTTTTTCTCGTATGCTGGAATGATTCCAAATTACAAAAAAAAATTTTTAGCTTTAAAAGTTAAGGGTTCTATTAAATGTAACAAGTTATAACTTTTATGCTTGGCCTTTCTGATATGATTAAAATGACAGTTTGTCTTGCAGTGATTTTTATAAAGCTTTTATTTTTTCAAAATATAGCTTCTACTTTTTCTTCAATTGTAATTACATTGTCCTGCAATAAATGTGATGGTAAGATTTACAGCCTTACCTCTCTCTGAATGTTTTACAAGTAAGAACATGCAGTGCTCTTTTGATTGACTGCCAGAAAATTCAGGGTATTGCACTCCCTGCTTTGACTAACACTGAGAGGTGAATCTTGTACAGAACTAAAATGATTTGTTTACTAATGACCAACATGGAGATGGGTGACTTGTTTAAGAAATTATGGAAATCAGATGATTTAGAGATTGTTTAATTTTGGACACCCGTGGGGAGGTAATTCCGTCTTCACTGCGTGTAAATAACCTATTTGATTACAGTATTAAATCTTTTTTAAAGATCTGGTTTACATTAAATTATGGTATTTAAACATTTTGCTTATGTTTATAGATTTTTTTTGTTGTTGTTGTTAATGTTTTTGGCATGCTAAATAAAGCTATTATTAAATTCTTTTAATGCCTCTCTCAATTCTGTGCAGTTGGAACAAAAATAACGTTGATTTCTATAACAGGTGCTGTATTAACTTCTATTGTCTCTCGTCTTGATGAAAATGTTTTATATCTCAAATTTTACGCTAATTAATTTTAAAGCAGACAAACTAGTACCATCACTAAGTTTTTAAATTAATATATATATGAAATATAAAAACATACAGTATCTTATAACAATGGCCAGCTGGAGCAACATTCAGAGACAGAATGGAGATTTTTCTCACTGGCATATTTCAAGGGGACAAAGCATTCTAGAAAGTTTAAGCACTTAATTCCATGAGAGTGGATTCAGCCACACTGCTATTGTGTAACTTAGCAGTGTCTTGGCCCAGAATACAGTGCAGATTAGAAGAAATTGGTTGCCTTGCCCACCCAGCTGAGGCAGAATTTTATATTGATAGCAGACAATAGATCCAGTACAATGAAAAGTCCTGCAGCTGCACAGTATGCCCCAACTATATTCCCTAGAAACCAAAGGAATCTTTGTAGTGCTAAAAAAGATAGAAGAATTTCTTGTTGCTTCTTACATTCATTACCTGGTCCGCTGTTGCTAAAGAGAGAGGATATTATATCCCAGATATTTCACACTATTTTACAAGCAAGGAAACTACACCTCTACCCCGATATAACATGACCCGATATAACACGAATTCTGATATAACACGGTAAAGCAGTGCTCCGGGGGGAGCGGGGCTGCGCACTCCGGCAGATCAAAGTAAGTTTGATATAATGCGGTTTCACCTATAACATGGTAAGATTTTTTTGGCTCCCGAAGACAGTGTTATATCAAGGTAGAGGTGTACCTGGAGGCCAGAGCAGATCTCAAATCTTGGTAGAATTACATCAACACACAACACAGACCTGCAATAAATGGCCATGGCAAAGGTGCAAACCAGTAGATCATGAAACTACAAAGAATGTATAAGTGACTGCATGGATGTGGGCTAGTTACTTATTTTAACACTTCCTTCCCCATGAACATTGCTTTGAGCTGTGCCAAATAATCTTTGAAACCATAGAGGAAAGGATGGAAAAGTTTGGATATGATAGAATTGTTGGGGGGATGTGCCCCCTGGCCAATTTAAAAAACAACTGTATATTAGTGCTTCAGTGGGTTTTATGCAATATGAAGGAGCTAGTGTTTATGGTTCAGTCCTCAGCTGTGCCCTCCACGACATGGGTGCATGTGGAGCAGGAGGTGAAGGTGGGGTGAGCCCAGGGCCAGCTGGGGAATGAATTAACTGTTCTAGCCAATGCATGTTTGTAATATCCCTGATGGGCCATTACCCCAGGGAAGACCAGATTCATTGCAGTATGCTGTGGCCCCATTCCCCAGTGCTCTCACCCACCGTGATGCACAAGCTATGCTGCTGAGAGGAGTGTTAGTATAAAGCCAGCTCTACCAAGAACCCCCAGCTGCCCCTTTGGGGAAGCTTTCTGGGTGCTTTGTATTGCCTGAGCAGCATGAAACAGCTGGTGGCAGTGCTGGGGATCTAGCCCTGATTATATGGCAGTGGGAATTTTGATGTTTCAGTGACATCCCAAGCTCCATTTACTATCCAACAATTTTTAAATAATTTTCCTAAACAAAATGAAAAGTTCTCTAGCATACTTAACAAACAACCCATATTCAAAAGCAAAAAGCCTACTGACTTAGTTGCTCTACTGTGTTTTCCTTTTACTCCTGTCTCCTAACGTCACCAATGCTTTTTTGAAAATAAAAATATAACTGAAAAATGATCCATTTGTGATCAATTCCTCTCTAAAATCTTGGGAAGGCTTTTAGAGAAATGTGCATAATAGCTGCTATCTGTTGTTTGGATACAACCCCCCCCCCCCCCCCCCCCCGCAAAGCACTTAAAAATACTATTTTAGTTCTCATTTACTTTCACCTCCTCCCTTCTCCTCTTTTCAACCTTTTGGAGGTGGCTTGGAAACAAAAAATAACACTTGCTTAAAGTGGTGTTTTAGGGGGTCCATTCTCCCCACACACACATTCATGCTTTAACCATAGAGTTAAAAATCCTGGCATAACCAACAACATGCTGCAGTGTTGCCTAAATCTGGGTGTAGGAGTGTGATTGACTAGGACACCTACCACAACTTGTGAGAACCTTCATTCACACATTGCTCCTATCTACATAGATCTCCATCTCACTGTGTGAAGATACATGAATGTTGATGAGAATAATTAAACCACTTGTGTTCAGTTTTACTTCACCGGTTCTCCCCTAGGCTAGGGTATATCTAACAGGAAGTTAGTATCACACAATCAAAACTTAAGAGGAAAAATGTTTCTCCAAAGGCATCAAGTGTAATAATCCCACTCCTAGGCAGTGTGGTTCTAGTGCAGGACAGGGCAGGATACTCCAACTCTAAAGAGTTTTGATGGCTGTTGGCTCGCCACAGGCTAGTGCGTCGTACCTTTCATCCTGCTAAGTGAGCAAGATGGTAGAAAAGGCTGCAGCAAGACAACTTTTACAGGAACTTAGATACCTTTGATCTACTTGACTTCTGCCAATCTGGGTATAGACCTTCCTTTGCACAGAAACTGCATTGATTTCCTTCCGGTGATGAATGAATACCAGAGGCAGGATTTTGTGCTGCACCGACACAGAACTCTCAGACCCCTAGGCTGTTTAAGGTGGGTTGAAGCTACTTTTGCACTCGCTGCTGGGTTGATTCAGCCCCCGGAGCACCCCCTTATGTAGGCAGCATTGGGGGTCTATCTAAGCTATGTCAGCCACCTCAGGCTGCTCTAGGGGCTGCAGTGCTGCCCAGAAACTCCACAGTGCTGTGGCCCCAGCTCTGAGAAGCCCCTTCTGCCATTAGCCCCACTCCCAACATGCTATCGACCCTAGGGCTTGCAAGGGGAGATCCTCCGAAGGCAGTCTTATAGATGCCTGCACTGCGGGAATCTTTCCCCAGCTGGACTTAGGGTTTTAGGACCCTTTGCTGCTGCTTTTGCCCTTTTGTCTGGCCTATAGGGGCCAGAGCAATAGGTGTAGCTCTGACACCAGTTGTCCAAGATGAGTAGATCTTTCATCTGTGGTCAGTGCGGTAGAGCGTGAGGTGATGTTGACTCACTTGATAGTACTGGTTGGGGCTGCCATTCAATGGCTTCACTATTTTCTCTTAGAGTGCAATTGCTCCTCTTCCCAAAGAGTCCCCAAGTGTGGGGTGCTGCAGGGTGCCCTCCTGTCATCCTTCCTCTTCAGTACATAGTTGGGCCAGTTAGGAAGGCTTAGGAAGGTAGCATGGGGTGCAGTGTTTCCAATATGCTGATGACACCCAGCTGTATGGCTCTATCTCATCCAACTCTAACAATGCTGTGGGTCAGAACCTCAAGAAGTGTCTAATTCAGCTTGGGGCATGGATGAGCATGAGCTGGCTAAAGCTCAACACAGACAAGACAGAGGTAACGACGGTTTGGGAGAACCAGCTGGCAGAGATGATGTCAGTTCCTCTGCCTGAGGGAGTGCATCTGCTGTTGGCGTTTGCTGATTGGGTATGATTCTAGATGCCTAGCTGCGGTTGTATTAGCGTATTACAGCAGTAACGCTGTCAACTTTTTACTGTGGCCAGGAGGCCGTGCCCTTTCCTTTCAGATGTGGATTATGCCCCTGTTATCCAAGCCTTTTTCACTTCAAGATTACACTATTACAACACGCTCTCCATGGGGCTACACTGGAACTGGAGCAGAATGCAGTGGCTCATTTATTGAGCAAGGGCATCTCTTTAGGAGCACATGATCCTCATGCTCCAAGTTCTATACTGGCTGCCCCTTTAGTCTCCAAGTGGAGTTTAAGGTTATCAGGGCCGGCTCTAGGATTTTTGCTGCCCCCCCCCGTTTTTTAATTACCCCACCCCCGGCCCCGCCTCAACTCCGCCCCTTCTCCCCCCAGGCTCTCAAGCCTAGGAGGGAGGGGGAGAAGCGGCGCCCGCGCCGCGGCCACTCGGAGTCTCCCCCTCCCTCCCATGTTTGAGAGCCTGGGAGGGAGGGGGAGACCCCGAGCGGCCGCGGAGCACGAAACAGCCGATTCGCGCGCCGCTGCTCCCCCTCCCTCCCAG